TTCAGCAGCATAGCAAGCTAACCTGCTTCTGGCTTATGGTCAGTGCTATCTATTATTTTGTAGAATCACATGGATTTGGCTAAAGGTCATATAAAGGCCCTTCAGGAGGGAGATCTGACATCTTCTCGAGGCATTGAGGCCTGCACTAATGCAGCAGATGCCCTTCTGCAGTGTATGAATGTAGCTCTTCGTCCAGGTAATGTTTTTATTAGGCTAGTCAAACATTAAAAATGTACTATGGTAGTGCCTTTATCATATGTGCCTTTCCAACTAGTCTCAGATTTTGTTTCTGTAGATTGAGAGAACAGTGACCTCTGGTCCTCTTGGCTCCCATATACAATATATTTCTCTGTATTTTGTACTCTGTGAAGTTCTTTTTGTTTTTAGGACATGATATGCTTCATGCAGTGAAACAGCAACAGCAGCGGTTTAGTGACTTGCGTGAGCAATTTGCACGGAGACTTGCCAGTCATTTGAACAGCGTATTTGTCCAGCAGGTATTACTACTTACTATTTAACATTTTCACTCACAAACTTTTCCTGAGAAGAAAAACCATCCACCTAAAATTGAGCATATTCTGTAATATACTCAGTAAATGAATGGACTGCTAAAAACACTTCAGGCAGAGATATTACTAAGCATACCAAGCTGTAGTTGCCTACAGAAGTCTCTTATGTTTAAAAAAAAAAAGGCACCTCTTTTGAGTGGGTTTGCTCTCTGAATTGAATAAATCATGTAATATGTAATGTACGCATGTAATTTTAATTGTAAAACTTGATTAACTGAGGAGAAAAGTATTGACTTTTTTTAAGGGTGTCAGAGGCTGAGAACGTTAGAGTTCTTGCTGTCTGAACTTCAAGGGCTATAGAAAAACCTCAGCAAACATACAAAGTAAAATGTCTAAACCTTGATTTTTTTGGCATTATCTTGAAAAATTCAGAAATCACTGTCCTGAGACTTGTTTCCTAAAGTCTTTTTTAGCATCAGTTTAATTTCTGTATTTCTTTATCTCCAATTAGTTTGCTCAGAACTTTCTTCAGCTCTGTAACAGGTCCCACTCTGTTTCAGTTCCAGTGAGTACATTGGGTTTGATACAAGCTTTTCTAACTAATTTTAAGAGCTTGACTTACCTAACTAGCAGCTGCATCTTTGGCTTTACAAAAAGAAATTTGTCCTTACTGATTGCAGAGCATCAGACTTATGCCCCTTCTCACTTCCATTATTTTTATTGTCCCTCAAGCTTTGTTTACCTGTTGATGACCTAACATTCCTCTGATCTGATCTCCAGAAATTGCTAAAAGACAGATTGAAATGTATGGAGGAAAGATATTTTCAGGAAATTGTAATGTGTGAACAACTGTACAGATATTGCAATTGTGTGAAATTGTAATATTTACAAATAAAAATGATTTGATTTTTATACATATTAGCACAATCAAAGTTTTAGAAGTTTTAGTTTTCATGTATTAGTCTGTGTGCAGAAAATGGAATAGAGTCACGCTGGATAATTGTATAGAAAATTGCATTTGAGAGTACAAGCATATGAATATTCGTCTTGCATATGAAAGTGGCTGTTCAACAGAATGCCTTTTCTGATGTTCTGAGGATTTTATTTTAAAAAATGGTAAAAGATTATTATTATTACTACTATGTAATACTACATGTATTCGATGAACTACTTCTAAAGAGAGTTTTCAGAAAATGCTATTGCCAATTTGCAATTTTTAAATTTATTTGTTTATTTTTAAATTCTGGTACTAACAGTGGTCTCGCATTGTCTTTCATGTAAACTTGCCCTCTGAAAAGTTTTGGCCTGCTGTGAGGTATTGATTAATAGAGCAGACAAAATAGAGCAGATAAAAAATGTGACCTCACTGTAAGGTTAAGCAGGAAGAGTTCATTAGCTGCAAGAGATGAGCCTCTGCAAAGTCCTTTTGCTTGCTGTAAAAGAAAAAGGCTGTGTTCTTGATTTTGAGGTACAGATTCAAGTGTTGGAGGCGTAACAGATTTTTGTCCCATGTTTTTGAAATGTCTAACTAGAGTACTTTAACATCTGAAGAGTTGCACTATTTGTTTAGAATATTTCTTTAAATTAAAGCACATCTTTATCTGCTTTATTTTTTTCTGATTTCTAAATTAAAGTGGCAAACAAAAACATGGTGATGTCTAAGCAGCTGCTAATACAAGCAAGACACACTCCGATTTGGAACTCATGAGATGGAAAACCAAAGTTGCATTTACATTTTGGCCTAAATATATTATCTTGAAAGTACGAAATTGTTCTTTCTCTTAAAAGAAAACAAACTCAATGCTGTTGTAAGATATTATGGTGCTTCATCTCCTTTACATAAAAATGAGAATAAATCTTAAAAGTTTTAAACAGAAATGCAGCTTTGGATTGCTGTTCAATGCAGTGTTAAAAGTAACAGTAACTGTTACTAACAGTTAATGTAGTTTGTCTTTACGGTGTCCTAATATTTGACTAACTTTACTGTCTGTTTATAACTTTAACAATTTGTTATGGTTGGTTGGTTGTTTATTGTGTGTTTTTGTTTGTGTTTTAATAACCAGGTTCAGCATAGAATTCAAAGGCAACTCTGGGCTTTCTGCCTTTGAAATGCAAAATAGGTTGAAGCTTTGAAACTATGAAATACTTTAATAACAAACTTGCGGTATCATTTAGTAACAGATGGTATAAATATATGTGTAGTGAGAGGAAGCTTGTTAATTAGGTGGAGAAGGAACACCTTGAAGCTCCATAGTGTTTTGGAGCAGATGTGAACAGGACATAATTTAGGGCAGCCAGAATGGTTAGTCCTGTTGAAAAGCTGGCTTGGAAAGAGAAATTTATCTTTGGAGGGGATTTGTCATCTAGCTTTATGAAGAGTGCAAGCACTAAATAATCTTTAAGGCCCCTTCCAACCCAAACTATTCCGTGATTCTACAAAGTAGTCTAGCTGTATTCAGAAGCTGGCATGTTTGCACTGCATTACTTTACTAAAGCTTAGTCTTTCACAAATAATATCAAGACTCATCTCATATATAGGAATATAGAATCATAGAATCATAGAATGG